TGTACTGAGGATTTAGGTATATACGATTCATAGCTGGGCCCTCTTATTTCTGGAAATTTCGAGATGTATTCATACATGTTCCTATCCGGTTGAAAATCCCTACTAGCCACATGGAACACCCCCCAGTCATCCCGACAGTTTCGAGCCGTTTTTTTTTGCTGCAGCCGTGCGCGCTAGAGGTTGGCGCGCATTGGCGCATACCCGGAAATTCTCAGTGCTCGGTAGATGGAGTGGTATACAATATGACCGAAAATTCCTGTACTAGAGTTGTGGTCCCAGTGGGTTTTGAAATGTCGGTAGGTGGTTACTTCCAGCCAATATGGGATCTTTCCGCCTCTTCTTCTACCTGTAGCATGTATTCTGTCCTTGAATGAGGGGCTAAAGACTACATGATGAATGGGCTCGGCTGGGTCTGACAGGAATACTTGTGTGAGGATTTTGAGCTGGGATCTGTGCAGGAATGCAGAAGGTTTCTTGGGGTAACCTGCCGTCCTCCAAACTATGTTGTTAGTGATTCGTGAATAATACGATGCTTTAATGCCCACTATGCGCCTAAGGAAGCGATAGTAATATGCATCAATGCGCTTCAAATGTTTATCTTGCAGGGTCAGGGCGTCCAATCCGTAGATAAGGGTTGGGACAAACACCGATTGGAATATCTGGAGTTTTTTGCGACGGGTCATGGAACTGTTCCAAACCAGGCGGAGCTTCTTATAAGAGGTTTCTGCGAGGGCGGCTCTATGCTTAAATGCGGCTTCAAAGGACTTTTCCGAGGAAACTACACTTCCTAAGTACTTAGCTTGCGTTGTGGTCGAGACTTCTTCTCCATTGGCAAACTTGAGTTTCGGATGTGGTCTACGGGGGTCCACCAACAATTCCGTTTTAGTCTGATTGAGTTGCATCCCGTAAAGTCTAGCTTGTTCCTCTAAATGATGCAAAAATCCTTCTAGCTGCGTTGTGGTCTTGCCCAGAAGTAGCGTATCATCCGCGTATTCTAGGTCGTAAACCGGCTTTCCTACTGACCAAGTATTGGTAGCTACACCGGCCGATAGTAGGGCCTCGTCTAGATCCGCGAAGATAACAGTCAATACCATAATGAACAAGTACGGGCTGAGTGGGCATCCCTGGCGGATTCCGGAGCCTACTGTTCCGTGTGCCTTATCCCCCGAACTACAGACAGTGTGAAATGTAGGGTCCGAATATAGTGCCCCTATAATATTTATCGCGCGTTCGGATACCCCAAATCTTTTAAGGGCAATCAGCATAGCGTTGTGGTCAACTGAATCAAAAGCTTGTTTCCAGTCTAGCAGTAGAATGTATAACGGATTCGCTGTCATTTCCGACCACTCCATGGCCCTTCGGAGGATGAATAAGGGGTGAATGGTGCCTCTACCGGCCCTAAACCCAAACTGCGTATTACGCATGTGGGTCTCGTGAATGGAGCTTAGTCTAGCCTGAAGCATAGATGCAAAGACCTGATAAATAGAGTTGAGTAAGGAGATAGGTCGATAATTAGATGGATCTGTGTCAAGACCTTTTCCCTTATACAACAATACGACTATGGCTTCCTTCCAATTGTCCGATATATTGCCGCTTTCCCAAATCTGGTTATAAAACTCTAGAAGGCTGAGGGTATTAGCATCGTCTAGTAGGAGAAAGAGCTCATTACCCACCTCATCTGGTCCTGGCGCCTTCTTAGTCTTTAGCTTGTTTAGAGCAGATTGTAACTCTTCCAGAGTGAATGCGTTGTGGTCTGTGGATTGAGCTCTAAGCTCTCTCCGGGCGCGTAGAAATTCCAAGTCTCCCTCCCCTGCTGTGGCCTTTCTCCACTGTTTCTGTTCCAAATGCGTTCTGAATGCCGCGTGTGTTTGTGATCACGGGACCGGTTTACCATCAACGATCAGGTGTGTTTTTTTGCCCTGAAAGCCTCGCTTTTGATTTCGGATCATTTTCCACATGTTGGTCTGTTCGTGGCTGTGGTCTGCTTCTAATCCTTCGTGAATCCATTTTATGCGATCCTTCCTGGCTTTGCGCTTTGCGACGTTCCTGGCGTGTTTTGCGTCGGGATCCTGAATTGCCTCCAATCTTCTAGCCTCCTCCAGTGCTTCTAGAGTGTCGTTGGTTATCCACGGCCTTCGGGGCGCTCGGGTGCTTTTACTCAAACCTTGCTGGGCGGCTTCCTGTATTGTTGTGGCCACATCGGCTGTGTTTGGGATGTTGTTCCTAGAGGGTGCCGGGTCCGGTGGTGACGCCTCCGTGCCGGTACGGCTGACAGAATTTTTCCCCGTCTCTGCGAGTTTATCCGCTCTTTCATTGCCCTCCTGTCCCGCGTGCCCCTTAACCCATTGAAAAACAACTTTAAGAGGTCCTGTTTTCACCAAGTATTTAGCGAAGTTCACCAGCGGTTTGTGGTGTTTTGCTCGCCACTTACCCGTGATAGTGTTAATGGCCCACTGGCTATCCGAACGGATTCTAATTTTTGACCAATTTTGTTGGTGAGCATGTAGCAAGGCCTCCACTATGGCCGTAACCTCTCCTGTATTGTTTGACCCTACTTGCGCTCCCCAATACTGAGGGCTATCCGGAGTTGTGGTCACAGGTCCGCTAGCATCATGCCATTCTCCGTCTTTTTCATAGCAGAAACCCCATCCCGCCGGCGTGTGTCGACTACACTTGCCCGCCGTCCCTGAGCCATCTGTGTATACTGCGATGTCTGCACCTGTTGTATCTGCCGCCGCGTTGTGGTCAAGAGAATCAGGGTCTCTCCAAAGCTCCGAGACTATAGCGTTGAAGTCCCTGATTTTTTGGGGGTCCTTAGTTATTTGAAGTTTCGGAGGCTTAGGGAGTTTAGGGGCTTTAGCTGCTAGTCTGACCTTAATCTCTGTCACTAGAAGGTAGTGGTCGCTGGGGTACCCTGTATGCAACTTCGACCTACAGTTATTTACCGAGTTTAGCCATTGTCTTCTAGTAAAGGTGTGGTCTAGTCTCTGAAACATGATAGGATCCGCTTGTGGGAGGATCTTTGGAGGCGGCAGTAATCCTGGAAGCTCCAGAAAACTCCTCACCTGCGCTGCGACTCCTAATGCAAACTCCTCGCATGTGTAATGGATTTTATCATACACTTGTTGCATGATTAGAGGATCCAAAAGAAATTGCGACCAGTCTTTAGGCGGAGCAGCCTTATCCCTGTACGTAATGTGATGAATTTGAGAAGGAGTCTTGTAAGATGCAACCTCTACCATGTTGAGTCTGCCCATGGAGCCAATGCAGAGCGATCTGTTGGAGGTGGCGTTGTGGTCGATGAATCTAGGGCCTTTACCATACGTGAACCTTCCTGTCACCCCTTGGTCGTTTTTATGGCTAGCCTGCAATCTAACATTAAAATCACCCGTTACATAGACTGGTTCTGGTTGAGGGATTTTGGAGATATGCTCTTCTAAAGTGTCCCAGAATGGTGATCTTTCTTCTTCAAAATCTAAGCCAGAATGCGGACCATACACTCCGATGACATGAATGTTACCCCCTTGTTTCTTAAGACTGAAATGAATGATTCTGGAATTGACCTGAACCACATCCATGAGGTATGGTCTTAAGCTTGGTGAAATTATGGCTCCCACCCCTGCATGTCTGTCCCTTTTATTTCCTGACAAAACCACTAGGTGCTCCTCTGAAGTGTACGAATAGTAAGATGTTGACTTAGCCTCAGACAAAAGCAAGATTCCCAAGTTATGTTCTTGCATGAGTTGAATGGCATTTTTTAGTTTTAGGGTGTCTGCGAAACCCTGAACATTCAATGCCCCAAATCTAAGTCTACTGTCGTACGCTAGAGGCGTTGTGGTCGGGTATTTGATTACCCTCTTTACTCTTCTCCTGCGCATGTATTCCTGCCAGTATATAGCGTTGCGGAACCACTTAGCCCTAGTAAGGGCTGCTTTTTTGGGCTGTGGAAGGGCCGGATGAGGGGGGCCCGGCCCCTTCATCCTATCCTTGTTGAGGCCTCTACACCATCGGCGGTAGGCCCTTCGACGGTACCTACGTTTGAGGGTGCCCCTAGAGACATCTAATGCCCTATCCACTTGTGGGGTACACTCTTCGTAGCTCCCATTGGGAGCTCCCGACGCGCCTCTCGGAGGCGGTGTTCGGCTTGAATTCCCTGCTTTAATTCTGTGAATTCTTGAATTCCTGTGAAACCTATGCCTACAGTGTTTGTCCCTTTTCTTAAAGAAAATGGTACCATCCTCCCTCTGAATTGTGATGCGCCTTCCTGTCCTTGTGGAGGGGTCGGCGGTTGCAGCGGAGCTATAAACAGGAGTTGTGGTCAAACTTGGGGGGTTGAAAGTTACATCCTTCAATTGTGGGTCTCTCATTTGTAACAAGACACTTCTTGGATACTTGAATGTTTCTGAAGAAGGAATTGCTATATTTGGGTTTGGGATTAGATCGCTTAAGCTTAATTGGAGGCTGGCTTGAATTTCATCAAACATGGGGAGCAATCTAAGAACTGTGTTACCATTCAAAGCATGCATTAACTTGTTGAGTATTGCCTGCCTACATGCATCCCAAGCTTGATTCCCTGATGTTACCACTCCATCTTTGTGGCTCTGAGTTGTGGTCCTGAGCACTGAGAAAAAGCCGCAACCTGAGGCAAACTGTGCATATGGGGAGACTGCTTGATAAAATTCAAATGTGTCTGCTACCCTTGGCCTCTGAATTGAAAAATGCTTGCACTCTTGACTTGAGAAAGTTTCAAACTGCAAGAATGTAAGCATGGCATCAAGGCAGAGCTGAATGAATATGTTGTTAGGGGGAATGTATTCATTCAGTGTACCCTGTGCATGGAGCATGGAAAAGACACTGGCTTGATGATTGGCTAAGAACAAGTTCAGCCTTGAGGGTATTGGCCCAACTTGCCCTTGCCCTGAATCCAAAATCACCATAGACCCAGATTGGGGGAGTTGTGGTCTATGATGAGGGATTGTGAAAATTCTACAGCCAACTTGTCAGGTCCTACCTCCTTTCTTGCCACCCGTCTTGGGTGCTGGCCCCTTCTTGCTTGCTTGACCACCTTTGCCAGTGGCTGGCGTTGTGGTCGGTGGGATTGGGGCTTGACTGGCCTCAGCTCCTAGTTGCTCCACAACCGGTGCCGGAGGCTTTCCTTGCACTGTGGCGATGCTGTAATTGCCCACTTTGTGCTCCGGGACTTTGAACTTATCGCACATCTCGTCCCACGAAAAGTAGACTTTGTCTACAATGACCATTTTCAAAGGAAACGGGTATGGCTCATAGGAGTTGGTGTGTATGGCAACGTTGCTCCAATGACGCTTGCCTTTTCCCAACTGCCATCCCTTTCCAGACAAAATTGCAGCATTCTTTGCTGCCGCCATAGTTTGAGCTTCAGCTTGGTCAAGCTCAAACTGTGGACCCCACATGACCTTGTTCCATTGCTCTGCCCAAAGATTGGGCTCTTGAGTTGTGGTCTCGGTGGGGGGACTCATCAACAAATCACTGAGTTCTTTGACCACCTCTAGGCGGCCTCTGAACTCTCCTTCCTCTTCAAAGTAAAAAAGGCGAGCCCATGCAGTGATATCCTCTTGGTAATCGCTGCCTTGCTTGGGGGCCATCAAGGTGAGACTTTTCCACAAAATCGTCAAGTGGGACGAGTTGTGGTCAGAAGATGAATTAATGCAATTCAGAAGAGCTCGTAGCGGGCTTTCCAGCTTACGTTGCCATTGGGGACTACAAGGTGCGACTTTGATGTGATGATTGTGCACCGGTGTGTTGTCGTCCTGGTACAGGGGACTCCTTGTACCACCCCCAAACTTTTCCAGCACTGCAGAGCGGATATCGAACGCTTTGAAGGTCAAAAGCGTCATGGTCGAGTAAAACTCGCCCCCCGCCGGTACAGTTACCGGATCAACCGAAAGCGCGTTGAGGTATCGCTTCACCTCGTGCGCATTGAAATCGGTCACATTGCCCCTCTCATGGCAGAAGGTGTGGGCCTTTGGAGTATTCATGATCATCCATCCAATCATGTACTCTCTGTCCACTGGCCTCATGCCTTGCGGCCATCCAGTTGTGAGGAGTTGTGTTCCGACCGCGTGCTTCTGTGCCTGCCGATTCTCCGATGCCATCCAGGAAACTTCTTGGCGGACTTTGAAGATGTTGTTGTTCAAATTTCTGAGGCCCACTTCCAGCTGCGCAGCCAGAGAAAAATACTCTGGCCGGATCACCTTCTGGTGATACGCTCTCACCAGCTCGAACACTTGGCGGTTGTTTGTAACCGGTGCTTGCATCCACTGCTGAGTGGCGTTTTGGTCTGTGACGTTGACGCCAACCTCCGCCATCGTTGTTGAGAGCGCTGCCTCATCTTGCAGCGAGAACGGCTGTAGCAGCGTCGGTTCCGGTGTTGCCGTCTCTGCTGCGTCCGCTTCAACCTCCATGGAGGCTTGGTCCTTGTGCGCCACCTCCGAGGACTCTGCCGGCGTTGTGAGCCCGCTGTGCACCGGCGTTGGAGCGCTTCTCTTCTGGCGCGTTGTGGTCCAGTAGAGGTTCTGCACGGAGCGGTACTGCTGGTCGTGTAGATGCGCTGCTGGTCTCCCCACTGCCGGTTAGCGTCGTGGTCCGTGACTAGCGCACTTGGCTGTCCAGGTTGCCCAGACATGGCTGCACAGGATGAAACTAGCCTTCCCTAAGGGATGGCGTTGTGGTCAAAATGACCTTGCAAAAAAACTCGCTTGCAACTTGCAGCCGAAGCGCCTTTTCGATCCGTTTAGCACTGAGGGAGTCTGATGAAAGGGAATTTAGGGTTTAGGTTTTCAGTTGTAAGACTTTGAGAGAAAAGGTCTTGCCGCTATGTCGCTTTGGGGAGCCACAGGGGAAAAAGGGAGGATTGACACCTTGTATTTATGCATGCTGGAGACCCTGTAAGCTCCATTCATTTTCAGGGCAAGTATCCAAGCCCTTGACACATTTTTTGGACCGTCAGCTACTGTTGAACTTCGGAGGATCTCATCTACGAGACCATTGGCTACGTTCGAAGCCGCGTGGTTTCATGTACTATATGGTAGAGTATGCCTTTCTTTTAGTGTTTATTTTTTTGGGAGGGGGGTTAAAGGTTTGGGGCAATTAAGGTGGGGCACGTGGGGACTACCTGCACTTGTTGGGTGTTTCTCGGAGCCAGTGTGAGCGTGGGGCTGGTATCAGAGTACCACTTGAACGCAAGTATTTTGGTATCCCCAACCCCAGACGAAGGAGTCGAGAGTTATCATATGATTATTATAAGGTCCTGAAGTTGTGGGGTGGGGTCACCTAAGACCTCTTATAACCCCACATGCATCCCTACATGCCCCCATGTATAAGTCAGTTTCCACTTGATTTAGCATTTCCTTCTCCATTCAAACCCTATGCACCAAACTCCTCACATCAGTTGTCATGGTGAGGATACTGCCCCCTTTTGCAGTTGGAGAGGAACCTCAATAAGAATATACTCAGGTCCCAAATACTACCCTTATTATAGACTGTTACTGGGTGGGGGCGGCAGGGGGCAGAACCCTCAGTCCTGAACGTACCAGTCCTCCCAGGGTTTGCAGGGCGAAGCCTTTCTTCCACGTGGAACGCAGAACAGCATGTACTTCTATAGTGGCAGATAGTGGATGAATAGAAGGGCTTAGGGTTTACCTAGGGGTATATAGGGATGCTGCATTTTTGAGCTGCGCCCGGGCACCTGTAAGAACCTACCATCTGAGAATTGTTACGCAGTTTGGATTTAGGCGTTTAGGGTTCAGGGTTTTGGGTTTAGGGGTTTCGGGTTTAAGGCTTAGGGTTCAGGGTTTAGGGCATCGCTCTCGTGTTTGAGGATAGTGGTTCTGTCTGTCAGGGGATGTTTGGGGCTTTGGGTGGTTGGGGGGAGGTGTTGTCAAACGAGCGGTTTGCTTCGACACCCATGGCACATGTCTGCGATGTAGATGTACATGTAGGGATAGGAAATTCCTTAAACCCTCAACCCGAAAAGCTGAACCCCCAACCCTAGATCCCAAACCCCCAAACCCTCAAGCCCACATCAACTTACCATTATTTAGGGTTCTCAAATTTCCTTATAACATCAAAACGACATACCCGCCCCCCCCAACAAAAAAATGAACACCAGCCAAAAGTAATGGTAATAAATAAACACTAAACTCGAAAGCCTTGTGTGGCTCGCATATCAGAGTCACGTAGGGTCATCCTCAAACACGCGCATGACGAAACTTGACTACGTGCATTGCATGTGCATGATGCGAGTCTCGAGTGAAATTGCCAATGTGTGAAAAATGTGATTTATGTTGGTCTGCTACAATCTGATAGCTCAGGGAGCGAAAGTGCACCTGAAATCAATGCGAGGTTCCTGCCACATGAGCTATAGTCTACTCTCCTTAACGGGGGTTATAATAGGTAGTTATATAGGGGACTATTATAGGGGTTATTGCGCGGGATAGTAAGAGTTTACACCATGGCTCACATAACGCCCTAAAAAATGTAGAAATTTTCGTTTTGCATTCACGTCTATCAATTAAGTAGGGCTTGGAGCACGCTAACCAGCAGCTCCGCTTCCTGGGACACTATGGTTACTAATGGTTTAGGGAATCCACTTACAAAGAGTCACATTTTTTGTTCTGGGTTCGTTAAGTTGGGATATTGTGTATTACCTAAGTCTGGGGTCCCTGATAGTAAAACCTCCTTACCCACATCCTTAATCCTTATAAACCACCATGTAATGCCAGTTCCACTGGAATTGCCATCCTATCTTCCATTCGATTCTCCATTCTTCCAGTAATGCTAGGGTCCCTCAGAGCACCTTATCTCGCTCAGCTAGGAACCCTTTGAACGGTAATGCATCACACATCCTAAAGCGAGAACCGCTATTTGTTCCATTTGGGCCACTGTGGCTTCTGCCGCTGGCGTAGAGCCATGCATTTATCATACTATAGATGGAGGAAATCACCATTTAGGACCCTGAATATCCTGCGATTCGTAGGATTTGGGGCATTTGGCTTGGTGGGAGATTTCTTCCATCAACAGTAGCTTCAATTTCTATCCATTTGCTGTGCGCGGACTTTGCACAGATATTCTCTCACTGCCTGTGTGTTTGGCTTGACTGAGTTAGCTGAGCCTTCTGAGAGGCCAACTTGTAATTGAATGCCTGTGGTACATCAAAAATGGTCCCAATTACGTTGAATTTCAGGTCAATAATGGTCCCAATCAGGTTTAATTTCAGGTTCCTGGTTCCAAAATACAATGTCCAGTTCTGAGTTATTGGAACTCCAAGTCGCTGACCCAAAGCCCTAGATCCTAAATCCTTACATCCCCAACCCTAGGCATCTAAGTCTATCCCTAAACCCTAAGCCATATACACTAAACCAAAACACCAAACCCTAAACCCCTAAACCTTAATCCCCAAACCCTAAACCCCTAAACCGTAAACCCACACTTTTTACCTTCTTTTGGGCCCTGGAGTCTGGGGACAAAGAATGCCTAGGCCATGCCAAGCAAAGTGACGTCCGGCCTCCCTCAGAGCATCTCTTGGAGTATCTTCACAAAAAGCGTCCCTGGGTTCTGGTTTAGGGTTTAGATTGGGTACTCCCCCCACCCAGTAACAGTCTATATTAGGGGTCCTATTAAGGGCTATATATAACCATATTATATTTATTATCCAACTGTTACTGAGTGGGGGCAGTACCCAAGGTTTAGAGGTCAGGGTTTCGGGTTTAGGGTGTCGCATCAGGGTTTAGGGATTATATGGGGGTGTCCCAAAATTAAGGGTACTTTTTTGGGGGTCCCTGGAATAAGGACCACAGAACATTGGGATCTCTATTGGGGTTCTGCGGGAAGAGGGACTTTATACAAAAACTTGCGGGTCCAAGGCCATATATGCACTTGAATTAGACTGAGTCGTAGAGTCTGTAAGTAGTATCAGGTTTAAGGGTTTAGGGGTTTCGGGTTTAGGTTTTACAGGTTTTAGGGTTCAGGGGCTTAGAGCTTTAGGGTTGAGGGTTTTTGTGTTTAGGGTTTAGGGGTGGTGCACTGGATGTCCAAACAAACACAAAAGGGCGCATTAGCTCTTCCTTTGGGAAGCGTGACTAAGGGTTAAGGCTTATAAGTTATAAGGGTCAAGCGGGAGATCACCCAAAAGATCTTGCGAGTGCTAGATGCCTCCAGCCTGCCAGAAAGACCTGATTCCAGTTTTGGGTTTAGGCTCTCTAAAGGGTCAATTCGACAACCCTAAAACTTACCTAAATCCCTAATCGGGACCCCCTGAAGTGATTGAGATCCTTTTCTGCAAATAGAACCCCCTAGTTAAGGAAGATGTCTTAACTAATATGAAGGTTCTCAGTTCTTAGTATGATTCAAAAAGTATGATTTAGGGTATACCTGTATCGGCAATAACCTACTGCTTCGTTACCCCGTAAGTAGTAAGTCTACCCCATAAAACTGGAGGGAACCGGGGTCCTATACCCGAAGCCTTGAAACCTTGACCTAAGTCCTCAACCCTACATAGAAACCCAGACCCCCTAAAGGATCCAAAAAATGGAACCCCCCCAATATGAACCCATTACTACATTGGGGTAACTAAGGGATCATTAGGGGGTTCCATTTTTTGGATCCTTTAGAGGGTCTGGGAATAGGGCTACCTGGGAAATCCTAAGGTTTCGAGGTTCAAGCTGTCCATGGGCCCGGACTCTTAGAAAAGCGCATGCAGGCGCGAGGGCGTTTAGGGTTCGGGATTGCAGGTGGGCTCTAAGCAGGTGTAGGTTTGAACATGTTTTGTGTTTTCTGATATCCTTGAGTCTTTGCTGTAGAAGCCGTTTAAAGCCATGCCAACTTGTATTTCTCTATCGGGTCCCTAACCCTACCCCGGTAAGCACTAAATCAAATTTATCGGAAGACAAAAAGGCTTCCAGGTTGGCAAAACCTACAAGCTTCAAAGTACCTTTGCGTCAGACATGTGGGACCGATATCAGGTTTACTTGAGGAACTCAATTTAGGTGTAACATCTAGGAACTGGCTGCCCAAGTGTCTAGATACATCTCTGCGCTAGGTTCATTGCTTTTGGGGTCTACCGCGTCCGGAGCCCGCCGAACGAGGATCTGTAAATCCGAAACACCCAACATGACCAAGGCTCCATGAGCACCCTGCATTGCGAGGGTTTTGCTTGAACCTTACATGGATGCCGTTCTAAACGCCGGCCTCTTGTAGCAAGACTAAGGGCGGCATGGGGTTTGCCAAAGGGTTGAAAAACCAATGTGCGCGACGTGTGGTGTCTCGTGCCTCTCTAAACATGCATATGTGGAAGTCTTCCAAAATAGGGGGACCCCAATATAGACCAACAAACCTTAATATAGGGAACCCCAAAACGGGACCCCTAATTTTGGGAACCCTTAAACATAGGCCCCACACCCCGATATAACCCCTCCAGTGTCTTTTAAAGGGGCCCCTAACTTTGTGGATCCTACAGGCTAACAAAAATAGCTATGGTATCCACATGTTTGTTGGGGTTACCCAAATCCGTTTGCTA